AGTTTTAAAGATTAAAATCCGTCAAGCCCAAGTCCCATAGTTTTGTCTATCTTTTGGCCTGTTTTAGGTGATAATTTGTACCCACTCCGCAGCTCCCTCAAGTAAGTATATTTACAAATTCTAAAATCCTATTTTGAAACTGCATCATTATTGAAGAAATAAGAAGAGGGTGAGCATATATTTCAGATTTGCAAATCACCGTGTGTAATATATATGTATATACATACACATACACAGTTATGAACTTTTACCTATGAATAGATAGTTCAATAATATTCTTACCCCCCTGCTTGAACGTATTTTTTCCGTGTACCCCAGTACTTCTTCCGATTATGCCCTACATTCCGCGTGAAGACCTACTGCACTAACTAGTAATTATGGATATAGTCAATATACAATCCACTAAATCAATATTTTGTTGAATGCAATTTATCTAACTTAGATTTTTGCTTCAATAGTTTACCTATAGGTTATAAACTTACAACCTATATATACGACCATAGTAGGGGCTAAAGCATCACTACTATAATAATAGTTAATATTCTGTAAATATTATATCATGAGATATAATTATGTTCTATTATTTCATAAGCCACGCAAAACTGTCAATTGTCATCATACWTATGTTAAATAATTAATAACCATTACTATAACTTATTTACCTACGTAATTATACTGGAGCTTATTAAACGTAAATTCAATAAAATAAATAAATAAAATTACCGTTTTGGCGTTGTAAACTCGTAAAAAATTAGGTAATACCATAATAAAGGAAATAATTTATAATATGCATAATATATTGGTTGCATATAATATAAAATATAAATTCTCCATTGCCCCTTAAAAAATATGCGCAGTTTTATACTTCATGCAATGAGTACATGTGTTGTACCACTATTATTCCTTATGATGGCTTATACTATATTATGTACTATGGTTTATGAGTAATACAACGGCTGAACGAACAATACATAATATAACCAATAACCATTGATTATAAATACAATTTATAACCTATTGCCTACATCATATCATAACACGTGATTATTAATCAGTATAATCACACATATTAAATATTATAAGGTATATTAATATAACTATAAAATTAGTTAATTATAGCCAACTAATTTGAATGTCATGAATTTTGAAGCATATATTGTTATAGATTAAATGATTATATAATAAATGTTGTAATATGATTCAATTTTAATCCATCATGTGACATTGTGCCATTGTGAAACACAAATAATTACTGAAGTGCATTAAATTAGGTAAATATAGTCAATATAGAGTACCTATAAAAAATAATATTTAAGAGTTAACGAATAAAATAACTTAATTATATTTTATAATACTCGGTATATAATATGCTATATAGCCATATAGGTTATATGTTATATTATGTAGGTATAATGTAATAATTATTATATATAATACAGTAGGTAATAGATAAATATCTTTACTATGACTATATTGATATGACATCGWTTTTTGAATAACGAATTTTAATAAAAATTTATGTTCACGCGCTCAATTACTGTAACAAATTTACTAACCTAGATTAATTTGATGAAGCCTGGGGTTTTCAGCCAAGTTTTCATTGCCCACCATTCACCAACCCACCCAGCTAATCTCTCAACTATAATACTTTAATCCGTTGTAAGGTGTACAGCTCCTAACCTCGACCACTTATCAACATTTAGTCATCCATCTTATTTCATATGACACATATACTTAATATTAAATTTAATATCTACTATTTAATTATTGATTGTTGTTAACAAACTGAATAGTAAATCAGTTTAATATCACTATATCACTTAAAATGTAATAATTCATAGTATTTTCTTTTTATGGCATGCAACTATATTTAAGTATAGAATATAGATACTGAGTGGAGTGAAAGAATGTATCAATTTTACAATGATGTGTGTTTTTTTCTGTAAGTCATCACCTTTAGGGGCGATAAAAATGTTCCGACTTTCTACTTTAACAAATTTTTTGAAACGTGAATCTAGTTGGAACTATTCAGTGAAAAGGGGAAAATTCATAGTAGTTTTCAAGTACGTCAAGCAATACAAAAAAGCAATCGATGAAAAATTGAAAATTATTACGTAAAACAGCGTTTTTATAAAATTAATATTCTATAACAATATGTATACTGAACAAAGTCAACAAATATGATGGGGTTATTAGACATATTAATTGTGATATATATTATATACCTGTATATAGTATATCTGATTTAAAAAACTTATAATTAAGAATATAGCCAATAACCAATATAGGTAGTTAATAGCCAATAGGTATCAAATATTACCTTTTGATGTCTAATAATATTATTTATATGTGAAATAAAATATAAAATGTAGGTATGGTTTATGACAAAACTAAACATTTTTGAAACTGGACTTATTTTAAGAAACCGGMTTTTTGAATAATCACGCATCGAGCAAAGGAAAATGTATTATAATATTGGAAAAATTATAAATAAATAAATWATTGAATTGGTAAAAAAAAATTCTGTAATATATACTTTTTGTGGTATAATATTCACAGGTGCACTATGCACAGTGCATAGTGTATATTAATATATTATGCATAAAAATAATGTTTGCCAG